AATTAGTTAAAATTCCCTAAGATTTAAAGCTGCCTGTTGGTTGTTTTGGCTTTGTACTGTTTTTCAGCAAACACGTTTTGAGCCCCATCAGCACGGCAGGGGGGGGAGAGATGGAAAGGGCGGGGGGGGCGGGGGGGGAGCAGAGGTTTCCTTCTCCAAAAAAAAGAGGGGTGACAATGAGACCCCTCTGAGAGGGCCACGGGTGAGGGCTAACCCCACAACCAGCCTGATGGCACGCGCGGTGGCTGGGTGGACCCTGTGCTCTGTAGTTTGGCTCACACATTTAGGAGGTTCAACCACAACAGAAGCACTGAAAAAAACATCTTCCCGCGTGGAGGTTGCAGTTACAGCCGTGGGGGCTGCCAGCTGCCGGGGGGGTGCGGGGTGCCAGCTGCCGGGGGGGGTGCGGGGATCGCGGTGCCACAGGCTCACCGTGCCGGGGCTCACCCGCCGAGGAGCTGAATGGGCGCCAGCGGCGCAGGGTGGAGCCCAGCAGGTCCCAGCACGGCTGCTGTGCGCCCCCCCCAGCCCCACCGAGCCAGCCCGAGCTTCCTGGAGACACCGGCGGGGACTGGCTGAGGCATCTCCACGCTACCCTGAAATTCCTTTGGCGTGAGCTCAACCCGCCCCCGCCAGCAGACACGCACGCTCCTACACCCTGCACCACCGCCGTTCTCCGAGGGGTTTTTCCATAATCAGAGACCTTCCCTGAGGCTCGCCAGACCCATCTCTAAGCAGAAGCAAGAGGTAAAACTGTCCCCTGCATGGAGGCTTCAGGCCATGCACCACTCCTACCCCCATTTTTTGAGGGGAGATGGCACTGCACGCCCTACTCACTCATATGGCTCAACTCAACCTCCAAGATGAGGTGGGGAAAAAGAAGGAGCCCAGGTCACAGTGGTGGCATTGGCAAGGTCCTGCTCTGTGCCCTGAAGAGGAGCCAGACCCCACAGCCAACAAGGTAGATGGCAACCGAGCCCATTTGCTCCAGCACCCGCCGATCCCCAGCGAGCCGTGATGACAAGCAATGGGAGAGTTGGAAAAAGGACCTGGAGGACATTCACGTGGTCAGCTAAAGCTGATTTATGAGCCAGACTCTCCAATCCCCACTTGAACACGGTGTCAAGAGGGTGCCGTCATCAAACCCTCCAGCCAGGCAAAGGCCCTAGTGCTGAGGTCTGGAAAGCCCTTCCCACGCACCGTCGGGGAAAGTCACCCAAGCTGGCTCCCAGCAATTCGGTGGCCTGACATCACCCCTCCATTCCCACCCTCCCTGGTGGCATGGAGAAAGGAGGAGGCTTCTTGCCAAAGAGACACACAAAGGGCTCACTGCAGCGCTGCACCACCAGCCCCAGGCACATCATCCATCCCAAAGCCTACACCACACCATGTACCACCACCTCCCAAATCCTTCCTGCCCTCCTCTCCTGTCACGCCAGAGCAGCCACGTGATCAGTTTTATTTATCCAAGGCAAAGGACAACCAGGAACCCAGCTGCGGTTTTCGGCTAATGTGCAGTTGGGCAATAGCAGAGGGGGGTGGCCTTCAAATTTCCACCGCCTGCAGATGCCGCGGTTCAGCATGGCCTTTCAGTTCGCGCTGCCGACGCGCATCAGTCTGCGTGCTACTTAAATTTGTGCAAGGAAGAATAAAAGAGGAGGACGGGGTGAGGGAAATCAATATTCTGTTGAACGAACTGGGCCCATTATTTGTTCCTGATTTATTTATTACCTGCACGGCTGCTGTTCAAACTGGCATGGCCTGGTTCTTCCTCTGCCTAAGTTTAACCCCCGGTAGACTTTGAAGAATGGCTGATGTGCCCCACGCGTCACGGCACCCCACGGAAGAAGAAGGAAGGTGCCTTACGGAGCCCGAGACGGTGAACCTGTGAGGTAGGTAACATGATTACAATCTGAACAGCAGGATTTATTGGAATTTGTTTCAAAGATGTTTTTTTCTTTTTTCTTTTCTGTCTGAATGTGATGAAAGGGCCACAGCAAAAGACCGGTGCGATTGGCGATGACTGATTCCTTGTGTGCGTGTTCAAGGCATGAGCAGAGCCTGCCCAGTGCTTTTTGGAGAAAGGCACAGTGTATTCTGGGAAACCAGAGCTTTACCAGTGGCTTTTTTGCAGTCCCCTGGGTGGCTTCAAGACCCATGCTGGTCCTCCCAGAGACACCTGAAGTCAAAATTCATCTTGGAAGCAGAAATGCTAAGGACACAACCAAAAAAACCTGGCCAAGCAGGGCAGATACTCGCAGCCCTGAGTGAGCTGGCTGCCGGGAAACCGCAGGTGGGCTCAACGGGACACAGATGATGGCTTTTGTCATCTGCTTTTGTGCTGTCCCTTGCTTGAAGGCACGTCAGGTGAGTATGTCATAGGCCCCTTCTTCTATGCCCCCACAGAGACTGGGATTGTCAACCCAAACAGCCCTGGGCACGTGCTCCTGTTCTCGCACATCAGAGGTGCCACATCCACGGCCACGCCATGGGGCAGTCCAAGAGGATTGCACCGACAGTTTGAAGTGAGACCTCTCACGCACAGCCAGGCTACCAGCCCGTCACAGCCCTCCTCGGGCTCACCCAAGGCACCGCCCTGAGAGGGGTAAAAAAAATCCCAAAGAGCTTGAGACACGAAGGACAGTCGCTCCTGAGTGACAAATAAATAGCAGGTTTGCTGGAAGAAAGCCCTTTGGAATCCAAGGTCCACCGCCCCAGTGCCGCCGGGAGCCTCGTCATGAGATCAGTCTGTAAATTATAACTCTTTTTTAATGAGATTTCTTTTAAAACCAGAAACAGTTGGGGACAGGGCTTGCAGAGGGGGCTTGCCTGCCACCCCTGCCCTGCCGGTTGATCACAGCATGGGTTTGTTCCTACGTACGAGAAGAGGAGAGGCCCCCTCGGAAAAGAAAAAGAGTTTCAGCTGCTCTTGGAGAAGTGGCGAACGTAGGCGGCTCCTAGTTCTGGTGCCGCTTCATGTGGAGAGCCAGATGGTCGGAGCGGGAGAAGCACCGGCCGCAGGCTAGGCACTTGAAGGGCTTGGCACCCGTGTGCTTCCGGTAGTGCCGGGTCAGCTCGTCGGAGCGGGCAAAGCGCCAGTCGCAGCCTTCCCATGTGCATTTATAGGGCTTCTCACCTGCGGGGAAGAGCCACAGGTCACAGGCACAGCACGGCCCCGCAAGAGCCTACGGGGACACGCATCTGCCCGGCCTCCCAAACACCCACCCCGTCCTCTCAGAGGTGCCCGTCCTCCTTGGGAGGCCCTGGAGGGCACCCTGGGCTGCCCCGCTGCAGAACAGGGCTCGTGGCCATGCTGATGCTTTACGCTACCAGGGTTCACTTGCTGTACGCAGTCCATAGCCACCAAGGGACCACAAATTGTTGAGCTGCCGTAACCAGGTCTTGCCCACGTGCCCCCCACTCCGCCTTGCTTTCTAGGCTTGGTTTCTAGTGCTGTTCAAGATCCTGTTGGATTTTGGAGCGTTTCTGGCTTTCTGGCTAAAAAATTTTCTGAGTTGTTTTTTTTTTTTAACTAAAAAGCCAAAAATTCCTATGGAAGGTGTTGCTGCTCATACACGGGTGGGAGGCATCAGGAGGAAGAAGGGGGTTACGCCATGTAAATTTTCCTCAAAGCCTCGCCTCTTTGAAACCACCATGTAACGCGCTCTGCCTCAAAGTTCAGCCCTGCAGCAGCTCTCTGTACGCAAAACATTGTGTTTTCTTCAGAGCATTTGGGTGACGTAATGCCTCTGCCCTCTCCCCCCTCCCGCCCACACACACCTATTCCCAAACTGAAATCAATTAAACTGTGCCACCTCTCAGCCAGCTGGGAACTGGGCTGGAAAAGCCCGTGCCCGCTTCCAGCTCCCTGCGTGCCCAGGTTGTAGAGCTGAACCCTGGCTGCAGGCCTCTCCGCACATGGGTGTGGTGCTCTCAAATATTAGCCCTCGCTCTTAACAGCCTGAACAAGCAGGCAGAGTTCAGGGAATGTGCTGACTTTCCCGACCTCAAATATTTACCGTTTCATCGGCCAATTGCTGAGCGCACCATCACGGCATGAATGCACGTACACATGCAGCATGCATGCACAGGCATGCGTGTCGTGCTCTGACATGTTCCTCCCCGCAGCCTGTGTGCTAGGCAGGCGGTGGATTTGGCCAGGACACAGAAAACATTCAGCCACAGCAAGATCTCCCGTGTCTTGCACACACCGGACAAAATATGAAAGCACAGACACGTGAACGTGGAGGAGACAGGGCACCGAGACCACAGCCTGCTCCCCAAAAAGCCCTTGGGCTCTGCACCACAGGGAGGAGAGCGGTGTATTTTTTTATAGCGCGGGTAAATAGAGAACTTAAAGTCAATTTACAAGCAGCACGCTGGATGTTTTACGGCACGCTGGGGATCTCGGGGTTTGCGTTAGCGTGCTAAGACAAAGGCGGGATTTGCACTGTGCAGCCGCAGACATTGTCCCAACCAGGTCACCTGGCTGGGTCAACCCTACCAAGGCCCTTTAGTTTCAAACAATAACAGGTTGATCTCCAGGATAGAAACAAAATGCTTTTCATTGTCCCACGAGCTGGCTCCATCTCCCAGGACAGCACGGCAGGGCAAGCTCAAACAAAGGACCCAAACTGGCATTCCCAGCCCCCGGGAGGCGGGTGAGCAGCCACCGGGTTATATATTTAATCTCACAATGGCACCCAGGAAATGAATGGTGTCTCCAGGAGATGAATACAGCCCAGCCCATAGCAACGGGCAAACCACAAGAAAAGATCTTAGAGATCATGTACTTCTCAGCCCAGCTGCCATCAGGCGAAGAATCGAGAGAAAGGGTGTTATTAACCCTTCAAGTGGTGGAGCTGAAGCGGCATCGAGCGTACTTCGCTGGCAGCAGTTGGGACGGGCCCTGCCGTTGCAGCTCCGGTGCTGTGCTCAGCGAGGCTGAGGCCTCAAAAGCAAAGCAGGAGGCTTCAAAAATTGGACGCAGACACCCTGAGCCTGCCTGCCTGTGGCTCTCTGTTTTGAATTCCCTTCTTTTTACCCGTCCCACAACACCACCAGTTTTCTTGACTACTCAGGTCACATCCTCCTTCACCCCTCTGCCCTTCCCTCTTACAGCAAGTGAAGTGGAAGGAGGCAAAGGCACTTGGATTTCCAGCCCAATTACTGGGAAATCTGGGAAAATGACTGCATTTTATTGGGTTCAAAAACCACCCAAGTTTGCCTGGACACATCTTTATATTGTGACTTGTAAGGACGGTGCATGTCTCAGATGGGTCGCATCTCTGGGCACAGAGCTAAGACCTGTGCTCCGAACAGAAGGGGAAAAGAGATGTTTAATTGTAAAGCGAGAGCCCTAGCGTAGCCCTGAATACAGATTGCTGTTGTGACAAATGCTTATCACCACCCAGCTTTCGGAGCCGGGACAACGTCCTTCCTGTTCCTTTCTTCCACCCCTTCCGTGTTGTTCTCCAGCCTGCTCCTACCCAGGCCCTGCCAAAAAAATACTGTACCTCATGCACAAAGAAAAATTCTTTGCTGGCTTGTTCGAAGGACTGATAAGACGAAAACGGAACAGAGCCAAGTGCAAGAACTGATTCCCAGCCTCAGGATGGGTTTTGTTCGTTGCTAATAAAAAAGAAAAGTGAACTCTGGGCCAGCTTAATTGCTTTCAGTAAAGATCAGCCCTTCTATAAAAGAGATTTATGAGGGTACTGATGGTTCCTGGACTACCTGGGGATCTGATAAAGTTTCAGGTATAATAAATGCCTTAATGAGAAGACCTGTGCTTGAATGCACAAGTGCCACTGAGCTAGGTTTACCCCGGGGAAGCTGGCTGTGGTGGGAGTGGTGGGAGCTCCTCTGTGCTAGTGACCCTGTTTACACCAGCAAGGGCAGCCCACGGCACCTTCGCCCTCAGGAATGAGGGCACAGCCCTTCTGTACATGTATTCGGAGCCCTTCTGTACGTGTATTTGGCAGCTCCAGTGATACACCACTGACAGCTGCTAAGGGGACAAGCACGGGGTGCGAATGGTCCGTGTGGCTGGTACACAAGGAGATACGAGGGGCTCCTTCCTCTCCTTGGGAACCACAGGGGCGCTTGACTCAAAAGAGACAGCCCTTGTCTCCTCAGAGGTCATATATACGCACCACATGCCTTTACACAATCTTTCTGTAGGCTAAGCAGGATCAGACCTGGCTAGGATTTGGGAGATCTCAAAGGAAGAGCTCAGAGTGAGAGAGGTTTTGAGGGCACCCCCTCCTCCCAATCCATCGACTCAAGAGCCTCCAAGAGTGCTCCTAAATTCTAGACCATCCCTCCAGAAGGCAAGCAAGTGCACACAGCAGTGAGCAGTCACTATAAACCAGTGCAACCATTGCACTTTTTTTAACATTAACATCGATAGACTTAACTGCGCTCCTTACCCCAATAACCACCCTAGATTAAGGTAATCAACTCAGCTACATTATCACCACCACCATTATCAGGCACAGTATAAGAAGTGTAGGCTGGCAAAGTTTCCTGATGATGTGGTGCTCTTACCTGTGTGAGTCCTCTGATGTGCCTTCAGGTGGGAGCTCTTGGTATAAACTTTTGAGCAACCTGCAAAAACAGAAAAGACACAACTTTCCTGTGAGAAAGGGGCCCTTCCTCAAACAAACCCAGAACATTTATATTTGAGGTTAGGGACAGAGCAGGCCTGAAAAGCACTCTGGGTAACAGTATGCAGATAAGCCTGGCTATACCCGTTTTGTTTCAGCAGTAACTAAAGAGCATTGTTCTCCAAGACAGACAGACCTTTACAACACTCCATCTTTTGCCACACAATCCTGACACCCGTGGGCATTGTGCTGGGAATTAGGGGCGGAGGGGAAAAGTCAGGCACAGCCTTTCAAATCCCCCGTTCCTCAACCAGGTCTTTGAGGCAGGATGAAAACATTAAGTTCACCACCGTTAGCTGCTGGCTTTGTGCTGCCGCTTGTCTTTCTGGATTCCAGACGAAACTGATATCACTACTGCAAGGCTGGAGGGAAGATGTATTTTGTAATAGTCCCAGCCCCAGCAGATGTGGTGAAAATGTTCCAGGAAGCAGGAAACGCCAGGTACACTGTGGAGCCACAGCTTGGCTTTCAGGATCCAGAATAAAGCCAGCGGGAAGTTTTTTCAGAAGATCAGCAACAACAGGTTTAATCAAAGAAAGGCTCTTAACAGAAACACCGTGACTTTGGCAAAAGTTTCAACAGGCGTCTCAAAATGAATCATTGCTAGTTCCTCATTTCATAGAATCATAGAATCATAAAATTGTTTAGGTTGGAAAAGACCTTTAAGATCATCGAGTCCAACCGTTAACCCAGCACTGCCAAGTCCACCACTGAACCATGTCCCTCAGCACCACATCTACACGTCTTTTAAATACCTCCAGGGATGGGAACTCAACCACTTCCCTGGGCAGCCTGTTCCAATCCTTGACAAGCCTTTCGGGGAAGAAATTTTTCCCAATATCCAATCTAAACCTCCCCTGGCACAACTTGAGGCCATTTCCTCTCGTCCTGTCACTAGTTACTTGGGAGAAGAGACCGACACCCACCTCGCTACAACCTCCTTTCAGGTGGTTGTAGAGAGCGATGAGGTCTCCCCTCAGCCTCCTCTTCTCCAGACTAAACAGTCCCAGTTCCCTCAGCCGCTCCTCATCAGACTTGTTCTCCAGACCCCTCACCAGCCTCGGTGCCCTTCTCTGGACACGCTCCAGCACCTCGACGTCCTTCTTGTAGTGAGGGGCCCAAAACTGAACACAGTGTTCGAGGTGCAGCCTCACCAGGGCCGAGTACAGGGGCACGATCACTTCCCTGCTCCTGCTGGCCACACTATTTCTGATACAGGCCAGGATGCCATTGGCCTTCTTGGCCGCCTGGGCACACTGCCGGCTCATGTTCAGCCGGCTGTCGACCAACACCCCCAGGTCCTTTTCCAACGGGCAGCTTTCCCATTAGAAAATTCCAGTTATATAAAGTTTAGTAAAGCTTCTCATGCTGCCTTTATGGCCCTGCTTCATTGTGTTTTGACAAGAATATTAAAATATGAATTTTAATTTCTATCACCTGCATAAGCAACATAGTCATATTTTTTGTTCCAGTGTTTCCATACAGCCTAAAGAAGCCTCTTGCACAAGATCAGCTCTCTGCCCTGTCCTGCTCAAGAGGTGCGGGAGCAGCTAGCTGCCTTTCCCCTCCCCATGGTAGGAGGGATAAGGGTTGGTGACCCAGTTCAATTTTGCTTCTGATGCTCTGAAGCCTCAGAGGTCCCTCAGGAGATGAATATGCATGAGACCAAGGACTGCCTCCCTGCTGGGCACGGAAACAAAGCCATCCGAGCACCCAGAGCAGTTTCCAAATCCAGAGGGCGCAGCACAGAGAAGCCAGAGCAGGGCACGGCTGAGCTTCATTTCCCCATGAGCACGCAGAGGAAGAAGTGCTGTGGCCACCACCCGGAAACTTGGATCGGGGCTTTGCAAACAGGTCTCCCCTGTTCATCCAGTTACCGGTGTGAATTCGGCATGCCTCCTGTTGCTTCCTCACGCAGACCACGTCAGTAAGACCTGCTGCCCCTGCCATCAGTCCTGACTGGTTTCACCTCTAGCTGAACCTCAATGTGAAGGATTAGAAGCCCTCCACTGCCTCTGCACGTACACACTATCGAGCCACCCAGTGTTTATTCAGCCCAGGTTGTTTGGGGGTTTTTTTTGCACCACAGATGTGCTCCTGCCTTCCTGTGCAGGCCAAAATCCCGCTGAAAACAGGCGAGCTTTGCCTTGGTAACGCATCCTGCAGGATGAGACTCTTGCTCTGACCGGTTCTGACAGGAGCGGAGGGGTCCGTCTGAGAGCAGTGGTCCACTTACACCCTTAATCTGTCTCCCACCATGACCAGCAGAAGGTAAAAAATTCAGCACAAGCTGTTAACCACAAGAACATGGGTGCAGCTTCTGGCTCAGAAAGTCCCTAATCTGCAGGTTGCCAGAGGATGGGTGGGAAGGTGTAAGCATAGAATGATCTCTCTAAACATGTCCTATTCTTATATACTTCCTCGGGTCACTGCTGGAGACAGGATCTGGGCTAGACAGGCCTCTGGGCAGACCTGCTACAGCCGCTCTTGTACCATGGAAAGAGCACATAAATCTTGCAGGAGGCTGTTAGGAAATGACTTTCCCCAGTTCACACACGCCCATGGGAAAACTATTTGCTAATCCCCAACAGCTCGATGGCTGGGGCTCGGCCCGGGAAGTGGGAGGTGTGTGTCCCTGCACAAGGACTGCCGATTTTCAAGCCCTCACACTGGTGTCACTGGGGTTTCTCGCTAGGGACACGATTGCTTCTCTCCCGCACAGCATGAATGAGAGTTTGCAGCTGTGGGTCCCACAGGTTCTCTGTGCACAGTGCAGGAAACCCTGCAAGATCTCCTCCTGCCAAGGCATTACAGGTCTTTAGATGGACATGCTCCTGCAATGAGGTGACACACAGGGAACAGCTTCAGCTCCGGGCTGATCATTACCCTGAAATGCCTTTCCACACCAGCCTGACGCAATACATGAAGCCACTGAAGGATATGATGCAGAGATATTCAGCACATTGCCTCTTTGGAAGAAGAGAACTGGGGCTACAGAGAGAGAGACCATAAAGGCTGCTTATGGAAATTACTCCATGGTTTGCCACCCGTTATAGGAGAGTGGGAAAAGAAAGGTCAGTGAGAAAGCCAGCCATCTGTGGAGAGCACGCGGCTGCCCGGGGTTAGGCAAGACCAGAGCGAGACGGGCAGCTAAGGCAGCAGATTTCCAGGAGCATCCCCATGCTTTGCAGGAGCTCTCTGCCTCTCACAGTCAGGCTTGCTTTTGCCAGAGCGCGAAGGGGAAAGGGAAGGGGAGAAAAAAGGCATCATCTAGCACAGGCAGGATCGACCTCTTCTACTCCCTTGGTGGTGGTAGGAACTGCACTTCCCTGGGGCTCTCCACCCAGCTCCATAGCTCCCTTCATCACGCAGACGGACAAAGTGATTTCAGATTAAACTCCTGCGGAGGCCCAAGGCAGCCCCAAGCCTCAGCGCGTCAAGAAGAGACCCTCCCAAAAGCCAAGCCAGTACATCAACCGTGAGCATACCTGGGTAATCGCAGTGATGGATTCTCCTTTTCTCCAGCTCAGGGTTGTTGCGTCTGTTGTATTTGGGGGGCTGCATGACAATGTGCCCTTGGGAGAGTGTCCCAAGGCCATTGGGGACTGGGGGAACCTGGGATGACTGGACCAACTTCAGTCCAAAAGTGGCTTCATAGGATGGTGGGGGAGAGATGGTGTTGATGAGCTCGGGTTGATTTTCTGGGCTGCCAGGCTGTGAGTTGGGGGGTGAAGGGGGCAGGTTCACCCCTGGAACAGCGTAGAACTGCCCTGAGATGTTGAAGTTCCCCTGTCCCTGGGAGACATGTGGGTACTGCTTAACTGGCCCTCCTGGCTGGACAGGTCTGTGGACCACACTGGACATGGTGTTACCTGTGGACATGGTGACACCACTGAGGCTGTTGATGGCTGTGGTGCTGTTGGAGGAGGACGTCAGAGTGGTAATGTCAGCGCTTCCGTTGCCAAGAGGCATCTGGTAAAGCTGGGATTGCTGTGGATTGGTGGATAAGGGGATCTCAGAGGGCATCTCCTGCTTGATGAAGATGTTGTTCACTGCCACTGACTGGGGCATGCTGAAGACGCTGGTGAAGTCAGGCAGGGTCTGTGTGGAGCCGGAGGCAGAAGAGCAGGGCTGGGCGAAGCTGGTGCCGGGCTCTGTTTTGATCTGTGGGAATGGCGTCATGGATTTGGGTGGCCGGTAAAGTCCAGTGCGCAGGTGCGTCGTGTCTGGCAGAATCACATTGATGTTCACGCTGTACGGCGTAGAAGTGGGCTTCTCTGTGGAGAAGAACTCATCCACCACGGAGGCACTCTCCCGGCGGTACTTCTTGTCTGCTATCATTGGGATGGATGGCACCTCGTTTGAAAGGTACTTATCCATTTCAGACCGTGCCTATGGCAAAAAATACAGACAAGAGAACTTGTGAAGAGTGACCTTGACACACTGGTGGTGGGAGACCAACGTTCAACAAGTACTTAAGCTAGCAGGAAATCGAGAGAGCAGCAAGAGCAGCCCAGGAGTCACAGGCTGTGGTGATTTAGCTTCAGTCTCTGACTCAGCCACCGGCTCCTCAGGAGCCTCCCCACTGTCCTCTGTCCCACTTCACTCCTACCTATCTGCACTGATAACAAAGGGTAAGCTCGGCAGAGGATGCAGTTATGAGAGAAATATAGCCTGATAAAGAAGAGCCAAGCTTTAGGTACAAAGCTTTGGTCACACAAATGAGAAGTTAACACTAGAAATGGGATGAAATCAGAAACTGCTCCAGTCGGCCTCACGCTTTGGGCACGTTGGATCTGCAGCCCACCTCAGACATGCCGATTCTGGTCTCCTTTAAACTCAACAGCCTGAGATGTATTGCATTTTATTCTAGGACAATATCTTTAATTAACTGAGAATATTCTAGGACAATATCTTTAATTAATTGAGAGTAATTTTGGCTATAGCCCTAGAAATCTAAGTGGTGTTGCCACTAATTCAGTGGACTGTGAGCCTAAAATGGAAACTGCCAGGCGTACTATTACTGCCTTGTCTTGGTAAAGTGACTCAGCCCTCACCTAACCTTTGGTTTAGTTCTAGTTTTGTAGAGCTGTTTTTACAAGTCTGGGTCCTCCAAGATAACAAATAGGACATCTAGCTCAGACAATCACCGCTTGCCAGGTTTCTTCCCCTCCTGGTTCATGTCTGATGCAGCATCCCACTGGATCCTGGCCCAATAATTCAGCAACCTGATGGAGCAATCCGCTAGGAAATTCATCCCCTGGCATTTGATGACTCAAGTTCTGCTCTTTGTGGTTAAAGATACCAGCGCTAATGCTCTTCTATAAAGCTACAGCCTTTAATTATGTGGTTATCCATGTGTCAAGCTCATTGCAAAGCCCTCGTAGACTCATTCATATGTAGAGGAGCTGGCAAAACCACCAGGTTTCCCTGGCAGAACCTACAGCGCACTTCAGGAGAGCAAGCTGATCTTGCCCCACACCCTGCACGCTTGAGCCGAGAGTTTTACAGCTCTGAACTATGTCACTGGAGTGCAATGGGCCAAAGTCATCCCTGCTGCAACTTCATTGCTCTTAACAAAGCTGGACAGGACCCAAGAGATTTCCTCGCCCTTTCCAGCAAAACATATCACCTGTGCTTCCAGCTAATTCAAAGAGCCTTTGCACCTCTGCAGGCCATACTGGCAACGCATGGGTAAGCTGGCTTCCACCCAAACACAGGTACGTGCCACAAATACACCCTCTTCTACATGGGTTGAAGCTCAGAGCAGCTGGACTTGGAAGTACTACGCTGCACTGGAACGAAGCACACTGCACTGGGACTGTGTTTTCTACGCTGTGCTCGCCGCACTGGTGTGTGTACACACTGTGCTGTAAATCCTATCCGTCCTCAATGAACATGCAGGCCCTGAAAAGTCCCTGCCCTCATTAAAGGAAGCTACGTGTTGGCACTACAAGCTCACTTTGTGTCACATCCTCACCTAACCGCCTCTGCTCAAGGCGGTGCTGCCTCCAGCAACAGCCCCCACCATGCTCCCGTGAGGAAACCCTCGCTCAGGCATACCCTAAAGCTAAGGCATCAGTGGGAGGCAGGGAAGAGAATCAGAGACCCTCAACTCGGTCCTTGCAGACTGGTCCAAAACCCTGATTTCCTCTCTGCTCCCCAGTGCAGTGTCCAGCTTGGGTTCCTGCCCGAGGGAGAACCACGCCAAAGCTTTGGAGCTGAACCCTGCGTGCTCCTGCCCTGTGCACCCACACTGGCATATTACTGTTATCCTTGGGAGTCAGCTTGCTCTAGGTAGCACCAGAGGCTCCGAATGCCGTACATACCTGAGCAATGAAATGACCCACTTGCCAGGAGTGGGGGCAGGGGGAAGGTGTTGGATGCCTTTTACTTCTACACTTCCCTTATCTCTGGCATTTAACTTTCTCACCTTCAGTTCCCAAGGGAAGGTCTCCCCCCCCCCAGCTCCAGTGGGTCCTTATATGGCAGGTGACCAGGCAGGTGTATTGAATGTAGAAAGGCATGGAGGGCCCTAATTTCAGATCCAAAACCTGCATTCTCAGCCAGAGTCCCCCTGTCCGCTGCCTGCCCCCCTGTTCGGTGTCTCCCAGCCTCCTTTTCTCTCACAACCACCCCTACCTGCAGAGCAAAGTCTTCTTCCTGTCATTCCATTAAAGCCTGATAAACCCACTTCTGATCCTGAGCAGCCCCAGGGTCCTGGGGAAGGGGGGTGTTAAGGGGCAGCTGGTCAGCAGAGCAAAAGCAATGGGCTTTCACCGGACAGGAAAGGATACCAGCCCTGTCCGTAGGTGCAGCCCCACTGGTGTGTGCAGGACCAGGAAGGTGAGGGCCCCACCCCCCTGGAATCCAGACTGTCGTAATGCTGCTGATTGTGTCACAGGTCCTACACGACCTTAAGGGCCCCAGCGTCCTTCAAAGAGGGAGAAAGGGGCACTTTGCTTGTTTGTGGCCCAGAAACGCCTAGCAACCCTAGCCCGCTCCGGCACTGCTCATGCTGGGTGCTGACACCTAACACCATGCCATTTCCCTAAGCGCCTCCGAGCCAGTGCTCTATCCAAAACCAACTCGGCCCATGGTCAGCACAATTGGGATGACTAAGTGCTGACATGTCTGGGTGGGATCCAACTCAAGTGTCCTGAATGCAGGCGTCTCTTATCTAGCTGTCACTCACGGCTCCTTTCACAGTCGGTGAGGATCCGGCTAATGGAGACATGAGAGACATGGAGGAGATAGATAGCTACACAGGCACCCAGGTGGCTTGCACAGATGGAGACACCACAAGCAAGAGGAACGCACCCAGGCTGGCGGCGGGGGCAGAAGGAGGGAGCGGAGGGGCCATGTCCTCGCCAGTGGATCTGGGTGGCCTGCACTGGGGCTGGGTGCGTGGGGGGAAGTCCCAGCTCAATCTCTTAGGGGCTTTAGCGGTACCTCTCACCAACAGGGGCAGAAGCATGCAGAGGGAGGAATGAGGAAAGCGCTTCACCTCGAGAATGAGTGGCGGCATCCGCTGTTCCATCCTCATGGGGTGCAGCTGTGGGGCAGACAGGGCTGGGTTAGTGGGACGGCCTCCCCCGGGGCCCGGCCACCCCCTCCCGCAGGCCTCCCCCAC